GATCGGAGCCCTATTCGGGGGGTAGGTGGGGCAATATCCTGGTGTCAGCTTATCTCTGTATATGCATGTGTGCAGTCAATATTCAGGTATATTTACGGATTTGCATGCATGCATGCATGTATGCATGCATGCATGTCTGTATGCATATATGTGTGCATGCATGCATTCACGCATATTTGTTTGTTTGTTTGTTTGTTTGGATGCAAACATGTATGCATGTATACATATAACGGCGCACCGGGTCCGGGGACCCGGGGCCGGGACCCCGACCACAAATGTGGGCCCCGGGGGGCCCGGAGGCTCGTCGGACCGCCGGACGCCGTCCAAGATCGTTCGCAGGCGGCTTCGGAACGCGCTCCGATGGCTCCAGATGCCTTCCAAGACGCCTGTCATGACACCAAGAAGGTCCCAGAAGCCTCCAAGACGCTCCGAGAGGCAGCCCAAGAGAGGCCCAAGAAACAAAAATCGTGCCATTCCTATGGGAAAACGTATATTTTTCGCATGTTCGCCTCTTGGGCTTTCACCGCGTCCAAGACGGCCCAAGAGGCGCCCAAGACGGTCTACGAGGCCTCCGGGAGCGCTCCAAGGCTGCGCACGAGTGGCCCAGGACGGCCCCAAGACGGCCGAAGAGAGCCCCAAGACGAGTTCGAGAGGGGTCCCAGACGGAGAAAGCCAACCTCGAATTCCGAGCTTCCGGCCCAAGAGGCTCCAGGAGGCGCCAAAATGCCGCCAGAGGCGCCAAAAGGCTCCCAAAAGCACCCCAAGACGTTCCGAGAGGCACCCCAAGAGAGGTCCAAGAAACAAAAATCGTGCCATTCCTATGGGAAAACGTATATTTTTCGCATGTTCGCATCTTGGGCTTTCACCGCGTCCAAGACGGCCCAAGAGGCCTCCAAGACGGCCTAGGAGGCCTCCGGGAGCGCTCCAAGGCTGCGCACGAGTGGCTCAGGACGGCCCCAAGACGGCCCAAGAGAACCCCAAGACGACTTCGAGAGGGGTCCCAGAAGGAGAAAGCCACTCTCGAATTCCGAGCTTCCGGCCCAACATATCCCAGGAGGCGCCAAAACGCCGCCCAGAGGCGCCAAAAGGCTTCCAAAATCAGCCCAAGACGTTCCGAGAGGCACCCCAAGAGAGGTCCAAGAAACAAAAATCGTGCCATTCCTATGGGAAAACGTATATTTTTCGCATGTTCGCATCTTGGGCTTTCACCGCGTCCAAGACGGCCCAAGAGGCCTCCAAGACCGCCCCAAGACGGCCCAAGAAGCTTCCAAGAGGGCCCCAGGACAGCCCAAGAGGGCCCCAAGACGGCCCAAGAGGCGCCCAAGATGGCCCAAGAGGGCCCCAAGACGGGCCCAAGAGGGGGCCCAGAGGGGGACCACGAACCGCAAGCTCGAGCCTTCCGCCCCAAGAGGCCGCCAGGAGGCCCCAAGGAGGCCCCTCAAGAGGCCCCAGGAGACCCCCAAGAGGCCCAAAGGAGGCCCCGAGAAGCCCCAAATCGGCCCCCAAAATGCTTCGAACCTGCTTCCAGGAGGCCCCCGACAGGTTCAGAGGCTCCCGAGAAGCTACGTCAAACTCCCAGCGAGCGGCCGGACGAGGCCCCCCACAAAATCACAAGAGGGTTCCAGTATTTGTATCCTTCAGCGCTCTCTGGCCTTCTTCCCCCTGCCCCCTTCCCTGCGACTTTCGTTGACTCAAGCTCGCCTCCTAGCTAGAACCTGAGCGCGCGCGAAGCGCGCGCGTGGTTCTAGTATGTATCTATGCTTGTATACATGTATGCATACATAGAGGTAGTTATCCATGTATGTATGCATGCATGTAGGTATGCATACATGCATGTACGTATATATACTTATATGTATGTGGATGTTCGTAGGTGTATGCATGTATATACATATATATATATGTCCATGTGTATGCATGCATGTAGGTATGTATTTGGGTAGGTATGTCTGCTAGTCTGTCTGTCTGTCGGTCTGGCTGTCTCTATGTATGTACATGTATCTATATATGAGTGTATGTATGCACGTATGCATGCATACATGCATGCATGCATGCATGTATGCATGTATGTATGTATGTATGTATGTAATGTATGTACGTAGGTCTGTATGCATGTATGTGTGCGTGCACGTATGCATGCATGAATGCATGCATGTCTGTCTGCATACGTGTAGGTATGTATCTTGTATGTGTGTAGGTAGGTAGGCATGTAGGTGGGTATGCAAGTAGGTATGTTGGTCGGTCTGTATAAGTATATGCTTACTTATCGGTTTATGCTTATGCTTGTGTAAATAGTTATATATACATGTTTATGCCGATTTATAGGTGCACGTAACCATATGTATTCGTATATGTTTATGCATGTGTGTACGTACATGCATGTTTAGGTGTGTATGCATATGTAGTGGTACATGTGTATGTATATGTATATGTACGACCATATCTATATGTATTTGAACCTGTAAATGTATATATATATATATATGTTTAGTTGCACGTGTATGCATGCATCTATGTGTGTACATGTACATGTATAACTATATGTATATGCATATGTTCATTCGTACGCAGCTGTATATGTATATGTATACGTATTTGTACATATATATGTATGCCTGCATATGTATGTGTATATTCATATGTGTGTGTGTACAGGCAGACGTATATGTAAACGTGTATAGTTACATGCGTTTATCCATATATACATATGTATGTATATACATACATGCATATATATATATATATATATATATATATCTGTATATATCCACTTTCCGTACACATACCGTGTATACACACGTAGCCCTACATATATCTAGTGGCCTTCGGACAATCCCGCCACCCTTAGCGGGCTTTGGGTTAGAAGCCTTGCATATAACACATGATAGCCTTGGGGTAGCCCCACTTCGTGCCTGGAGGCACGGTGGCGAATATGGACAGACATATGTGCACGTGTGTCTCTGTGTTTATCAACGTATGCATGTATGCAGGTGTGCATGTCTGTATGCGTGTCTGTATACATGAATGTACGGATTGCATTCGTGCATGCATGCATTCATGTATGATTGTATGTCTGTGTGTATATAGATATGTACTTAGGGCATGTGCTTATGTCATGCTTCGTGGGTGTCTTAGAGCCCTGTCGGGACCGTCCTGGGCTGTCTGAGCGCCTTCTTATGGCTCTGTTGGAGCGTCTTTGGGTCCTCCTGGGCCGTCTTGGGGCGGGCACTATTTGTCAATCTTGGTGTCTTCTGAGGTGCGTCTGGGGCTGTCTTGGCAGCCTTTTGGGCTTTCTTGCTCGCCTCCAGAAGCCACCTGGGTCGTCTTGGGGCCCTCTTGAGACCCTCTCTATCCGACGTTGTAAGTTCTTGGGGCATACTTGAGCACTCCTGATGCAGTCTTGGCCCGGAAATCATGTAAAGCAGCACCTGTCGATAAGACTGTCAGTTTTTCGATGACTCTGGCCGTTTTGGGCATCTCTAAGGCCCCCTTGGGGCATCTCCAGAGGCCTCTTGTGTATCGATTGGGACCACTTTGGACCTCTTGAACTGTCTTGGAAGTCTGTTTGGGCCGTCCTAACGGCCTCCTGGGGCTCTCTTGCGCCATCTTGAGGGGCCCTGAGGGTCTAGGGACGCTCGGGACCCCCACAGGATGAGGCCGTCCCCCATCAAATCATGTGTGATGCTGGGCCAGAGGGTGCTCGGAGGAGCCTCTCTCGCTCTCTTTCTCTCCGTCTCTCTCTCTCTCTTTCTCTCTTTTCTTTCTTTCTCTCTCTTTCTCTCGCTCTCTCTCAGTAAGGGCTTCGCCCACTGCCGCCAGCCCCCTCTCTGGGATATTGGGGTATGCAAGAGCTATGTTATGAGGCAGGGGTGCCGTCGTGAAGCAGCGTCGGAACTCCGAGCGGGGGCCACTGGATATATGAGCATGCCAAAATCCTTTAACAACCAAGGGAACATCGCATATGTTGGCCTCTTGGGCTCCCCTTGGGGGTGCTCTTGGCGGGCTCTTGGGGGCCTCTTGGGAGCCTCTTGGTCCCTCTTGGGACCATCTTGGGCGCCTTGGAGCACTCTTGGGCCGTCTCGGAGGCCTCTTGTACCGTCATGGGGGCCTTTTATGAAGGATTGTGGTTTCGAGAGCGCGGGTATTGCGTACTTTCGAAGTGTCTATAATTTCGTGGACGCGAAGGAGGCGTAATTTACGAATTATCATGGCTCCGGGGACGCGACTATTTTATACTCTATGAGAGATTTCTGCGTCGGAGGCGCGACTATCGTGCAGTTAACTCGGAATGATGGTCTCGAGAGCGCGGACACCGCGTGATTCCCGAGGGCCTATGGCCTCGGGGACGCGAATCTATGGCCTTGGGGGCGCGAACATGGGGTAACTTACGAGGGATTAATCGGACACTGGAACATATACATTACCAGTGTCGGGCGGTTTTTCCCCCAGGATTTTGTTTGGAGGGTCGGGGACGACGTCGTGGTGGTGTGGTGTATACTTTTTCCCCGTTTTCCAAGGGTGTCAACGAACAGTGTATACACCAGGATCCCGTATACACCAGGATCCGCGTTCCTGTGCGAACTTCAGCGCAGGGTCGGAAAAGACGTCGGTGTATAGAGTTCGTTTTCATAATTTCTGGCTACGGGGGCGCGAACATCATGTCTCTTTACGTGTCGCAGGACCAACTCAGAAATTCTGGGAACCCCTCCAGGTGAAGGTAACCAGGGCCCTCTTCGGTTTCATTCCCTCGCGTGGAATTTAAGAGTTTGCAGTAGGAAACAGAAGACACACACTTGGAACATGAGAGACTGGAAACTGCAACTGGAGCAGGGAGCAGCAAGCCTAAGCCGCGGAGCCTGATAGCCCCGCAAGGGGTCCGGCGGATCTCTTTCCTTTCCTTTCCCGCACACGCCCGACGATCCCCAAGGGGGCCGACGGATTTTTCATTGGCGCGCCACGATACTCCATTCAATGACTCGCAGACTCGCCGGGTAGCATCGATGTGGTATCGCAGCCCCGACATTTTGCTGGGTGGTGGGCTTAGTGTTCGTTTTTCTTTGGTGCAGAAGAATCGGCATTCGAGATTCGAGTGAGGAATGTCGATGTCCACGAATGGACGATTCTAGACGGGCTTTTGTTTTCGCGTCAAACGTGTTGCCATGTCTCGGCCACTGCGATGGCCACCAGGATCAGTATCCATCGACTGTGGCTTGCCCTGAGAGGAGGCAGCGATGGCAACTTTTCAGAGGGATCGCTTTCTTCGGGGACAGCTGCGACGATGTACCCCCTCGCAGATGGTTGTGTCTCTGGCTTCACCTCTTTTTTGCTGCCGTATTCTCGGGTTTCTCGCCCCCTCGCGTGGCGTGCCGCATCGATCGCAGACGAGGGGATTCGACAGTGTCGACGAGACCGTCTCGGTAAAGAATCTGGGCTGCACGCCGTGCTGAAACTGCATTTCCTGTTGCTCGAGAAGGCTTCGTCGAGTGGGTCAGTCAGGTGTTTTTTGGGGGGGAGAGGATCGGAGGGGAAAGTGAGGAGGATGAGGAGGATGAGTAGGAGCAGGAGTAGGAGGAGGATCAAGCTAGCCAGCTCGAGCGAGTCAAGCATGGCATGCCCAGTCCCACCCGCCCTCCCACAACATAAGAAGCAAAGCTGGCACAACTGGGGGCCGAAGTCACACCGGCCAGCCGGTTTGGTACAGCTGATGCGGCCGCGATGGCGGTTGCCGACGGGAACTGGCGAGCGCGTGTTGAATGCCGCGCACGCATTGCCAGACGAGTCGAGAATGGCCCGGTACACCGCAGGAAGCCAGAGGTGGCCGGAGGAAGCCCGACGGTCTGACAGGACACCCCAAAGCATTTTTGTGAAAAAGCATTGGGTTTTTGATGTTTTTATGTTGAAATGCTTGCAAACACACGGTGTTCGGTAGGATTCTGACATGAACGCGCGAGTGTGCTCTTTGTGGTATTTTTTTGCACAGGATTCGCGGCCTGGGTGCATGACAGAGCATCGCGAGTGCACCGCGCGATGACGTGAAATCGCTGGATTTGACAGAATTCTTAAGATTCCTATGGTTTTCCTATGATTTCAGCAAGAGAGCCCGGGCGGGAAATTTGTACAATTTTTGTGAAAAAGCATTGGGTTTTTGATGTTTTTATGTTGAAATGCTTGCAAACACACGGTGTTCGGTAGGATTCTGACATGAACGCGCGCGTGTGCTCTTCGTGGTATTTTTTGCAATGGATTATCGCCGTGGACGACAGGACGTCCATGTCGAGAGGAAAAAATAAGAAAAATGTTGATTTTGTATTGTTTTTTACAGGTTAGGATGGGACCACCCGGATGCGCCCGCTAATTCTAATAAGGAATAAGGATAAGGTGGAGGAGGAGGAGGAGGAGGAGGAGGAGGAGAAGGAAGGAGGAGGAGAGGATGAGGAGCAGGAGGGAGGAGGAGGAGAAGGAGGAGGAGGAAGAGGAGGAGGATAGGAGGTGGAGGAAGAGGAGGAGGAGGAGAGAGAGGAGGAGAGGAGGAGGAGGTGGAGGAGGAGGAGGAGGAGGAGGAGGAAAGGGAAGGGGAGGAGCGGTAGCAGGGGGAAAAGGGTAGGACCGACAAAGGGGGATGGTTTCTCAATGTCTGCATTCTTAAGCCAAGCTGTGAACAGAGTTAACGTCAAGTTGTGCTCAGGCTGCAGCGTCACCCGCAGAGAGAAAAGGTCCAATGATCGGCCACGGGTGGCAGAAACGCCTCGGGTGGCTGGAACCTGTGCAAAGACCCGTGGGCCGAGGACTTAGCACCAAGACCTCCAGGTCTTTGGGGAGGGAGACCTGGACTCTGGTGGGGGAGCGCCCGCATGCCGCTAGAGCTCGATCTGGGGCGCGAGCCGCGAGCCCCAGTCGCTAGACTTCTGCTGCGGCGGTGAACCTGCGCGAACTTTCCGCGCGGGCTGCAACCGCTGGGGCGAGACTGTAGGCGTGGCCACTGTGCAACCAGCAAGAACATTCACTGGTCGCTCTGTGGCCCAAGCTCCACACAGCCCACAAAGGGTGTTTCGACCCTTGTGCCGCCACTCGTGGGTGCTCGACAACTGCTGCCCTGCAATAAAGGCAGGGGGCGCAGCACAAAGGGGGGATCTTTCACACTTATCCGTAGCATCGTTTCCACGCCACACCGCGCTCCCGCATGATTTGCTGCAGGCGTGCATGTACGTCTGCTGCGCCGTCCGTAACCGCCGAGGCTCGAAGGTATAAGCCGTCCGATCTGTCCTAGATCGCAGATGGGGGCACACTGCGCAATCATAGCTTGAGAGTGGTTTGGTTCCATCGAACTTATGCTCCAGTACGGATGCGCCCGAAGAGGCTGAAGAGGATGATGATGATGCTGATGATGACGATGATGATGAGGATGAGGATGAAGATGAGGAAGTTGATGATGATGACGACGATGATGATGCTGATGCTGATGCTGATGCTGATGCTGATGATGATAATGAGATGCTGATGATGACGATGATGATGCTGCTGCTGATGATGCTGATGATGCTGATGATGACGATGATGATGCTGATGATGCGGAATATGACGATGATTATGATGATGATGATGATGATGATGATGCTGATGATGATGATGATGGTGCTGATGCTGATGCTGATGCTGATGTTGATGATGATGGTGATGATGATGATGCTGCTGCTGATGCTGATGATGCTGATGACGATGATGATGATGAGGATTATTATGTTTATGATGATGATGATGATGGTGATGATGATGCTGATTATGATGATGATGATGATGATGATGATGCTGCTGATGATGATGATGATGATGATGACGATGATGGT